TCTTCTTTTATATCGTCTATCTTTTGAAAATTTTCCTCCATTTTATTCATCTTTCCCATCATCACTCTGATCATTTCCGATACACTCATCTCTTCTATCTTACTACTTTCTTTTCCTATTGTATTTCTTGTTTTTCTTACTTCTTCTTCTTCTTCTTTCTGTTTCTCTTCATTTTTTTCCTTATTACTTTCTTCCATCTTTTCCATAATAAAAGTTTATTTTTATGTTTTAATCAACACTATTTTCATACCTTGATTTTATTCACATATACTTTTTTTTAATATTTTATTTAATAATATATTTGTTTAACAAATTTATTTATACCTATATTTCTGTACCACTGTACAAAGTATGACAACTTATAGCATACTTTTCAATGACAATTTTAAACACACACTTGTCAGTTTGACAGCTTCACTGCCCCACGTTGGGCGCCATTTGTAATGATATTACACATACCAATTTTATTTTTTTATTTTAATTAAAGTATTTTTTTTTTTTTTTTTTTTTTTATTTTTTTATCTCAGGGGTGCTTCAAATTATATTATTATTACTTTTTCAATTTAATTTAATTTTATTTTAATTTTATTTAATTTTATTTCAATTGTATTTTTTTTTAAATTCTATTTTAATGTTATTATAATTTCTTTTTAATTTAATTTGTCAATAATCAACAAAAATATAAAAAAAGGACTTGACCTGTTTTATACCCTGTATTTCCAGATAAATAAACAAATTTTCAAGACCATATAATTACAAGATTTATTTTTAGACAAATTATCTAAATTTCAAATTAACAACAATTCCCCGCTATTTACATATCTGGGGATTATAAAGAACTATATCACTAAATCTACCCTAACTACATTCACTCTTCATTCACTCTCACTAAACTATATACTAAATAATACTACAAAAAAAAAATAATAACTACTGCCAATGTCTTTCCTCGCACAATTATTAATTGATCGAATCGAAAATTAGTTCATATGTTACTCACTGTTGTAATTGTAATAATCTATTTCCAAAAGTATTTTAATTAACTTCGCTTTATCTGTCCTCTGTTGATTTCTTCTATTTACATCTCTCCGGAACACCATTATGAATGTTTTTCTGCAACCATTTTGTATCAGCTACTTTGTTATTTTTAACTCTATTTATATGTTTGGTTAGATTAATTTGTTTATTTATTGTCTTATATATCAGTTTTATAATTCTTTTTCCATATTTTAAAAATACATTATTTCTACAAAATTAATTTTGACATCCCTTTTCCTAAATTTCAAAATTCAATCAATAATACTTAAACCTAGAAACCACCCTTTTCTATGACTCTCTTATAAATTTTACTATACAGGGTATACATTTCCAACATTATTTTATTTCTTATTATTATTATTATTATTATTGTTATTATTAATATGGTTATTATTATTAGATTTATTAGTTTTGTATATAGGGTGTTTTCATTACAATATATTATCTACAAGGTTATTTTTAGGAAGAAACTATATAATTAAGTTCACATTATTTATTTATCTATCTGTTTACAGTACGCTACAGATACATAAAGTTCTAAATGGTACATTTAAAATATCAATTAAAATAAAAAAGAAATTAATAAAATTGTCATAGTATAAAATTGAAGTCAATATAGTATAATGAAAGTCGACGCTTAAAAAAAACCTACTAAAATGTCATAATTTAAAAAATACTTGTAATTGGACATCAGTCGGTCTACAAATAAATTCTGTCCACAGTTCTATGAGTATTTACATAAAATAGTTTAATCTGCCTAGTAAGTCTGGCAGGAACAAGGAATCTAATAAAATGAGGAATAAACGATAGGCCCCTGTCAAAAATATCACCAAGATCATTTATAGTTCAGAACCTGCAGTGACATAATCATGCATAATGATATTAGCTGTTCTATTAAACCTTATAACTTTACATTTATCAATATTCAGTTTAATCAAGTTATATCGTATTAAAACTATGATTAGTACCAGTTGTAGGCAAATATATTTTTTTAGCATGATACAACTGCCATCTTAATAAAAATCTAGTGACCTTTGAAATATACCTTATATAAATACACTTTTTTTTATTACTTTTGTACAATCGTTCACCATTTTAGCTACTAGTGAACCTTTGCAATATAGGTACCTTATTATACTCTTTCGTGCAAGCGTTCAATGTTTTTGATTCTAGTGAACTTTTGAGATATTCCTTATATACCATCTATACCTACTTTTGTCCAATTTGTCAGTGTTTTATAGCTACCTTATGGTATCACACATGTGTAATTGCATTACCTGTATTATTACCTACCTCTACTTGTATGATATTGGTATTTGATTTCAATAGCTTTTTAATAATAAATTTATACAATTTTTTTATTTTGTTTTCTTCAGATTTTACTATATCCTTAATATACTATTTTGAATATAGTGTATCCAAGGATGGACATAACTATACTTGTAAAGATATTTATTTTAAATTTTTCAAAAGAGGTATTTTTCATAATTTCTCAACGTTAATCGTATTTATTTAACAAGCAAAAGAAATTATGAAGTAGTTCTTTAAAATTTAAAATAAATATTTTTACAAGTATTGTTAAGTCCATCCGTGGACACACTGTATAATGCTGTAGAAGGAATTCACATTATAACATCTATAGAAAGTTTCAGAGCAACTTTCGGGGTAAGTACCGTAAAAGTGCTAGTGTGATGTTTTTGGAACTTCACTTTATAACTTCTACGAGATGTGCTATAAAAGTCTTGCCGTTGCGGACATTCGGTAGTTGCAGGGATAATAGGGTTACATTTACAGTACATTGCATGCGAGCTTAAAGCGCCTAAAATTGCAGCTTATTAACGTAGATGGGATATTTTTGTGCTAGCTGGGTAGTTTACCCTCTACAGCGTTCTGAAGAGCGGTGGTCTGTTTTGTCGTTGAAGGCCAGGCTTCCATGTTTTGTGCGTCTTTCATTTCGCTAGGGCTATGAACCAAATGGATGGTCGTATTGAAATTTTAATGTTTTAAATTAAAAATTCAAAAAGAAATACATGTATGGAAATTAAACAAACAATCAGGTTATCACTTCAGTAAATGGCTTACATTAAACTAGAGAATTCAAGGTATAACGTTGGCATTCTAACAAGTACAACTGTCACGTAAATTTTGGATTTAAATAGAGATACAGAAAGAAAGAGACTCGAGTGAGAACTAAAGTTCAAACTCTCACCGAAGGCGAGAACTCTCGTTTTCGGGACCCTAAGTCCCGAAACGAAGTAATGTGTAAAGTTTTTGTGCAGCGGTTTGTGAACTATGGATAAATATCTTTAACTTATTTTTAAAGTGTTTTATTTGAGATAATTAATTGAGTTACATATAAATGTCAATTTTTTCATTTTCGTCCTGAGTATTACATTTATCTTATATATTATATTATAGTCAATAGAAAGTTTATCTAGTTGTCATAAATCATAGGTTTTTTATTAAAAGTTTGAATTTATTATCAAGTAGTGCTTTATTCTCTAAATATAATTTTACTCATTCAATCTTGAGACTATTAGTCGAATTTTGTACTTATTTTAAATATACATTCTTAATTACCTCGCTATTTCCAAAACTAGTAAAATATTCAAAGCATTTGAGAAGCCTCGGCGTTTCTATTCTCTTAGGACTAGAAGAGTCTAAAACTAGTTGCCAAGAACCGCTCGACTGTGCTATTAAGGGATAATTTTTGTTCTTTTAATTTAATTTCTTATATTTTTTTTACCACTGATGAATTGATGTTCCTGCTGGACTACAGCACCCTTTTGCTGCCTAAATCCCTTAATAGTAATTACTAGTAAGTACATCAACGAATCGTCAAGAGACTATAGAGCTCTTGGCTTATCAGAGAGTTACGATAGTGTGCTAGACGTTAATAAGCATCATCAAATTATTTACTAAATATATTGTTATACATATATTTAAAGTGACCATATTTTGAAAAGTAGAAAGCGGGACAAATCAAAAACAAGGATATATTTCTACGAATTATCTTTGCAGTAGTGACGGTTTGGTTTCTTTAAGAACAAAAAACTATGTATAAAAGAGTGGGATGTCACGTCAACATAAAAATTGAAATATTTATATTTTTTCGTTAGACAAAAGCAGGACACATGTTAAATAGGTTTAAAATCGGGACTGTCCTGCCCAAATCGGGACAAAAAAAAAAGAAATAAAAAAGCCTATAGTATATTCCTCTATGCTCTATAAATCAAAATATATTTGCAAATTGTACAGTTTTAATTGATCAGCATCCCTTGTATAACCTAACAAATATACAAAAATTGGGATGTTTAACATCATTAAAAATAAAATAAAAAAATTTGATAGCATAAGACATCATAACAAAAAAATTGTATTTCTAATGGCCAATATAAACATAATTTTTATATTATTTGTTATTTTGTCATAACATATTTTCAATTAATACCTACCAACTGATTATTCTATGTTATATCAGTTTCGGTCTAAAATAACAGATGATATATTAAATAAAATTTTTAGACTTTATTATTCTATAAAATACTATATTCCACCATTTTTTATTCCTTGAAACTTATTTTATCAATAAGTGGAATTCTCGGTGGAATTACTAAAAATTAGTTATTATGACCTTAATCATCCATTTTATAACAATTAATAAATATTGCTTATATTTTCTAAAAAAGTAAAAATATAGATTTGGGTTTCATTCAGAAAAGTCCGTATCTGGCGGAACAGCCATATTGGGTTGACAACATCCACGCCAAGTGATACCCGTTTTCAATGTTTGAAAAAAATACTTATAGCGTCTCCGTACCTTATAACTCCATGTTATAATCCTTTCCGCGAACGAAGCAGCTACATTATCTAGATACCCCACTTCTTCCTCAAGATCAATTCAAACGGACACTCACTAGCGTCTAGCGAGATTAACCTATCTGAAAATATCAGTTGCAGGCGCTTCAGGTTTTAAATTGCCTTACAACTGAATCGTGTTGAATCGCTTAATATCGTTGTTATCGATTAAATCTCTCATAGTCTAAAAAGTGCTCATTTTCCCGCGTTAGTTTGAAACATTTTCCCAAACGGGTTGAACAAATACGGGAAATTCCTGCTATCGATTAGGATTTAGCGGGTTTTAAGTTCAGTTAGGTAGGGACCTAATTAAAATTCGGATTATTAGATGGACGAATCGATTTTATATTTATATTTACCCAG